AGACTCGGTTGTCCTTGTGTCTGGGGGATGGGGGATGAAGTTGTTGGCAGTATTACTCCCAGACACGGCGGGTAGCCGGGTGTGCGGAAGCTATGCCCGATTTTTTAAAAGTACTGATTTAACTTTTCGAAATTTTACTGCATTCGGCATCTTTGTTTAAGTGTCTTATTGACTTTTGCCACTGACTTATTACATTTCTTGGGTCCAAGTCATTGACCTGTATACAGCTTTTTGTGTCAAAATCACTGAATTAGGTGTATGTATGTGAGAACAGTGGAAAACATTGAGAGGATCCAAGATAAAATGAGCACATGTAACTGCCATGGTTATGGCTAAACAATCATCCATGTTCCAGAAAAGGGAAACCTGCGATGGCAAAAGGATCTGAAGACACGCTCTGCAGTACTTCCCATCAATCAACTTGCATTGATAAAATATACAACAAATTCAAATTCATATATGATCTTTTATTCTAAAGACTTAGAATTCTTCCGAGAATTATTACTGTTAACAACTAAACATGTAAACAATGGTAAATTAAGTACAACAAATATCTCATAAGGAAGAGTATTTATGGATGTCAACTGTAATTATGAGCAACACCACCATCCTTAATTTTTCTTCCTGATGTGTATCACTTCTAAATGCCATCCAAAGACTTAAATATGTCATAAGTTCAAAGCTTGAATCAACAAAATTTCCTGTTGACATCATGATTGTTACTTAGTGAGAAGAAATAATTAGGACATAACAGTAAATAATATATATTTTATTTAACAAATCACATGTGAATTGAGAAGTATTACTTATGCATGAAGCAACATACATTCAAATGCAAATATCAGGTAGTTGGACACCTGGAGTTCATTAGATATTAAAACATATATCCCAAGTATGCCTCACAAATATTGGTGTGATTATGACTTTTCCTTAAATAATAAAAATACACACAAACAGGGATTCAGACCAGTTCCTTTTCCAGGATACTGACTGATTGTCGTCATCCATAATGTCCTAAAGTTGTTCTAAAATTTTGTAAATTCATATCAAAAGATAAAAACCCAACTTGAAAATATCCTGAAGCCAGCAAAATCACTGTAAAGTAAATATGAAGCTCATTCTAACATAATCATAACAAAAACTTGAACAATATGTAAATAACCATCATCCTTAATAAACACTAGTTCTTGCTCAATTTTCAAATATTGACAATCTCCTCAAATCATGGTAAAGAATTACATTTTGGGTTAAATACATTTCAATATTCATCACAGTTATATATGAAATGTATTAAGAATTATATAATATATTCTGTATCAGAACTGATCAGGCACTCTGGATAATGCCAGATGAGGGTGTGACAAAGAGATAGTGTCTTTGTTTGTACAAATTCTGTGTGTCTTGAAATAAGTATCATGCATTATGATACTGGTAATCACTTTCAACACTATCTTTTTTAAAATCATATTATTTAAAAATAAATTATTATGTCTGATACAAAGAGCCAACAAGCTAAGTTTTACACCAGGTGGATATTGTACCATGAATCACTTAGTGTTTGTTAGTTAGTGCAATTACATCATATTAATCTGGCTGTGATAAGGCATCAATTAAATAACTGGTTGGAATAATTATTAATTACTTGGTTAGATTATAATTAATATCATTACTTGACCATGTTACTCTGAGTTCATAATCTTGCTATTATTTCCAGTAAATTAATTAAAATGACTTGACACTTATAATCGTTTTTTAACAGTTATATGTTTCACTAAAATGTATATCAGTAAACTTCCACTACCAGTGAATAACTTGTGTTGCAAACAATTCTTAATCAAAAAATTTCTTATATTAACTAAGATGGGTTTTTTTATTTCAAAACATTTATGTCAAAATATTTCAGTAATTCACTTCCTTCTCATGAAATTTTCCTCTCCTTTCTAACCTTGAAGGGATGATTCAATTTCACATTACTGCCTGGGTCCTGTCTCTTCATAGAAATGCTGAAATAGTGAAAGTATGATTTAATGGGAACTTATATGAAATAAATTGAAAGATTTGATGGAACGAAATCCATTGACAATGATTATTTTTCTATGTTTAAAGAATTATTACTGCTGGAGTAATTTGCAATATTAACATATAGGCTTATTGTTTTTTTGTTGTGATTTTGAAACTAAATCATGTCTAAAAATCTGTAACAAAATAAATCATATCTAAGAGAGAGGAATACAAGTTCCACCAGATCGTAGTTCAATGTAGATAATAGTAGAATTCGTTCTGCACTAGCCGAAATCAGATCTCTTTCATATTTGTTTACAGTGTGTCACGGCCGTCTCGCGTGTCACATTTCAGAAATATGACCTGCTAACTCAATGCCCGAATAGGAATAAAAAATGTAAAAAAACCCAAAAAACTCAATGCCCGATGTTGCCAAAATACATAATTCGAAAATGATTTTGTAGTTACAAGCATTATCTTTGTTTATAACATGCGTAAAATCATAACTTGCTACGTGTTGTCATTTACCCGCTTTGAGTATGCATATGTGCAAAAGTGCCGAAATTCGTGCAAATACCCACCTTCGAGCAGACGTAGGTCCCGTAGAGGATGGTGGCGACGTTTATCTGATGGTGAGGCCTACTGCACATTTTGATCAGCCTCAAACATTTTTCTCTCGACACTGGGTTTGGGTAAAGGTATATATTCATCTAATCCCAGCGATACGTTATGGATATCGCGAGTGAAAATAGCACAAACCGTAGCCATGTTGCTTCTCAGGTGTCGTTTGACCCCGGAAGTAAGCCTGACAAATCCGCAAAGCGCGCCCTGCCTTCTGATTGGCTCAAAATGGCGCATGAGCCAATTTTGATTGACAGACTGGATCGGTCTATTATTCACAGACCGCTGTCATATAGCTGGAATATTGCTGAGTATGCTGTTAAACAAACAAACAAACAAACAAACAAACATTTCTTGTATGAGATAGGAATGAATGTAAGTAAGAGGTTACTTGTCCAATCTTGTAGAGCTTTTCGCTCAGTTGGATCATTGATTTTTTTACCCAGGTAATACTTGAATAATGGACAAACATTGTGTCTCAATAATACTGTGCATGCCTTGTTTGGCCCTCCACAATACAAGACATGTATTGCTAGTCTCTAGTGTTACTAGCATTGCATTGCTGTAGTCTCCTTATGATACTAGAAATACATGGAAACATGTTACATTAAATGGGAAGGGGGTCATCTTCCTGATGCAAGGGAGTTAACTAACTATAAAAGTCCAGTTTCCACCCTTGACAAACTAGGCTGGAATTTCTTGGTTCGATCGTAGTGCCACCAGTGGCTATAACGAGTTATGAACCTTCTATGTCCCCCGCTATTGATTGACCTTACAGATTCCACGTCTGATATCACTTGCATTTGCTTCAAACAAAATGGCGGCACCCAGCAACATTTAATGACAGAGGCAATATACCAGACAGAGGACTTCTATTTATGAGTTAAGACTGAGCTGTGAGCCTGAATATTTAAAAAAGAAGAAGAAAAATACCTTGCAACTATGTAATTTTTGTGGCAGACAGGCAATTATTTAATTTTTTCAGTTTTCTCACATTTGGAATATGTTGAAGCATTATTATTTTCAAGCATTTTCTGAGACATTTTTTGGTGGGGATAAGAGATAAGATATTAGCATCTTCCTCACCATCTTAGGCCTCCACCATCTTGTATTGACGTCGACGTTCCCATCCTAATTACGAACCATAACTTGAAAACTGTTCAAAGTTTTTCAACGAAACTTGACAGATGCAATACTCATCACCTGACCCAGTGCCTTTTGCTATTTTAAATTTTTTCCAAATTATAGTTTTGTACTTTGTGCTGCATTGACAATGTCGACAAACGAGAGTAGGGTTGGTTTCTGGGCCATAACTTGAAAAATGTTCAACATATTTCGACAACACTTGGCATATGCATTACTCATCAGCCGAACTGGTGCCTTTTGGTCCTTGATGCGCCATGGAACAACGATAAAACAGTATTCAAGATTCAGTGGCCCTATGTATTGAAACAGAAAGGGTGTCCTGTATACATATAACAGTGAGTGGAATATAGTTGTGATAATGTAATCTTGGACTACCTCGCTTGCTCAAACCAGGAAGTGGCAAACACTGATCAGGAAGATTATATGACTACACACGACACGGGGACAAGGTCACTTTACATAACTGGAGTGTGTTAGAGCGTGTTAGAGTAACTACTGGTTACAAAAGATATGGGGGAACGCTGTTTTTCAGAGCATAATCATTTGGAGGAGACCAAGGTTTGCAGTGCCATTAACTGAGAGACAAGTTAGCGCAGTATACCAGACAGGGGTCTTATGTTTTTTAAATTAATACCATGAGCCTGAATATTTAAAAAGAGAAGAAAAACACCTTGCAACAATGTCGTTTTTGTGGCAGACAATTTTGTATTTTTCTCTGTTCTCTCAACAGTTGGAACATTTTATGTTTGGGGGATATATTTCCACCATCTTGCTTCCCTAATGAAGCGAAAAAAGGAAGGGGAAGACATATGATTTTAAAAAAGGTGCTCACGTGATTTGATGCACTTCGCGATGTAAGACCCGTTTTTTAACAATATAGAGCTTAATCATCGATCAGTTGTCTTGACTGGGCGCCGTCATTTTGTTTGAAGCAAATGCAAGTGATATGAGAAGTGGAATCTGATTAGTCCAAGGAGAGGCATAGAAGGGACATAACTCATAATAGCCACTGGTGGCGCTACAATCGAGCCCAGGAATTCAAGCCTAGTTTGGCAAGGATGGAAACTGGACTTTTAAAGACAGTTAACTCCCTTGCCTCGGGAAGATGCTTGTCATGATTGTATGTACTCTCATTGCCTCCTTTGTCTTCTGTTTCTAATGTCATATGCAGTATGACAGATCTACGTATCCATGTATATGCATGTAACAATATTCACAATTCCATTTTTCAGTCCAAGTCGTGGCAGAGGCGATATTGTGTTCTAGTGGAGCCGAGCGGCAAGGCGCCTCAGATTCATGTGTTTGAGAAGGTGGAACATTTTCAGAAGAAGAAGGAGGGGAAAGTCATCTGTCTGGACCAGGCCAGGGAACTGAAGTACAGTAGAAAAAGGAAACTCGGTTTTGATGTGGTTACCAAAAAAGACAAATACTCTTTCACGGCTGAAACAGATGACGACTTTAAACACTGGGTGTTTAGTTTAAAGCGGGACTTGAAAGTAGCCATAATAGCTGATGCTGACAGTGCAGACGTGTCAGATGACGACGAAAGTGACAGTCAGTTCTACATGGATGACAATATCATATACGAGTCGGCGGACACAAGTGAGTAATTTCAACGTCCTGTTCGGTACACTTGTTGTAGACATAGAGATTATTGATTATCAGCCGTGTATGATACAGTTCTTATTCCTAATATATATTTCAATATGGAAACACTTGAGGGTAATGATCTCTTTATCAGATAAGACCCGTGAAGATACAGGGTAGACTAGGTCTTCAGCAACCCATGATTGCCGTTAAAGGCTACTATGCTTGTCGTAAGAGGCGACTAACGGGATCAGGTGGTCAGGCTTGCTGACTTGGTTGATGCACGCATCGATCCCAATTGCATGGATCGATGCTCATGATATTAATCACTGGATTGTCTGGTTCAGACTCGATTATTTACAGACCATCGTTATATAGCTGGAATATTTCTGAGCGCCGCGTTCACAAACAAACAAACAAACAAACAAACAAACAAACCAACCAACAAAAGTAATTGATATTGTGAGCAATGATCCACGTCGTTGGGGTACGATGACATGTAATCAGCCAGGTCACCTGACCACCTGATCCATTTGATCATATAGCTGGAATATTGCTGAGTGCCGCATTAAACACATAAATGGATATTTAAGATGTAAATTCATTCAATGAAATAGAGAGAACGAGAGAGAGAGAGAGAGAGAGAGATGTTTTTTTACGTGCACTCATTTGCATATTTCTTCATATATCCCATCGATATAACAGTGAGTGAGTGAGTTCGATTTTATGCCGCTTTTAGCAATATTCCAGCAATATCACGGCGGGGACACCATAAAATGGCTTTACACATTGTACTCATGTCGGGAATCGAACCAGGGTCTTCTGTGTGACGAGCTAACGTTTTAACCACTAGGCTACCCGACCGCCCCCGATATAACAGAAGCCTTTATATGATAAAATGTATATATATACTTTGTGGTGCTAATTCTCAAAAGACATCACCAAGTATAATACATGTATCACTTAAGATGTTTATTCACAATACATGATATTATCATCCCATATAATATATGTATCAACTATCATGGCACCAGACCTCACAATGCATTACATGGGTCGAAACTGTAAAGCCCATTTCTGGTGTTGATATTATTGCTAAAGGAAGCACTCACTCACTCACTGACACTCACTCACTCACTCATTCACTCACTCACTCACTCACTCACTCACTCACTCACTCACTCACATGAATATCATTTTGTTATTACAGCTGCAACTGTTTCTGTTCCAGCTCCGATGTTCAATGTGACCATCGAAGAGACAGAAGCTTCTGAGAGGTGTCGTTTGAAAGGGCAGTACGTGCTCGCTGTGAACTTTCAGAATCTGGCATTGGTGGACTGTAACACCAAAAAAGCTCTCTTCCAATGGCCATTCAAATACATCCGAAGGTTTGGCAAAACCAGGAACAACTTCCAGTTCGAGGCAGGCCGGAAGTGCATCTCAGGAGAGGGGGAATTTTCTTTAAAGACTGACCAAGGCATCTTGATCTTTGAAACAGTCACTAAGGCAACACAGATGATTCGAACTCATGGTGACGACAATGTTCTTAGTTCGTCAGGCAAAAGTCAACATGATCACAGTCAAGGTTCCCGTCTTAGCCATGGTAAAGCTCATGGGCAAGGTGCTGGACCTGTGGAGGCGAAGGTGTCCCCCAAGATGGAGCCAAGAAGTGTGTCAGTAGATCCTGAGAAAAGGTCAAGTGTAAGGTCAGGGGGAAATGTAACAGGAATGGCGGATGGCTTCGCGTCACAGCTGAACCAGGTTATTCAGCATAAAAAGGAAGGTGAGCATCTGGTACCAAACCCAAGACGAGGATCAAATTCATCTTCTGAGAGACTCTCAGAAGATGTACAACCTGCAAAGAAATTAGATAAAAAAGAACTGAAAGCGAAGAAGGAACAAGAACTGAAAGCAAAGAAGGAACAGGCAAAGAGGGAGGAACAAGAACAGAAAGCAAGGAAGGAACAAGAACAGAAAGCAAAGAAGGAACAGAAGGAACAGGAACTTAAAAATAAGAAAAAGAAAGACAAGAAAGGGGATTCGAAAAAGGGTGATGGTGAGAAGAAGCCAGTTCAGGCAACATTGTCAGCAAGCACCCCAAGGTATGAAGAAGCGAACCTCCATGCATATGAGGATATAACTGATATCACATCAAGCAACATCAGCCAGCCAGGGCCCGAACCATTATATGCTGAAGCGGCTGAAACCACCTCCTTGAGACCGATACCTAAACCAAAACCAAGAACAGCGGATCCAAAGAAACATGCCCAAGAAACGCCAGACACGGTTGTTTACTCCGAGCCCCAGAAGAAAAAAGATGCATGGAAGCAGCATGCTCGACCTGAAGACAATGTGCATCAGGAGGATTACGACAACATTAAGGTAGCTGCAACTTCCAGTCCTGGCAACCTGGCCAATGGGAGTCCATCGTTTGTCACCCAGGATGATGACGACACATATGATCGCATCGTGCATGTGAGTGCCAAATCCCACATTGCTGCTGCTTCTGAGAATATATATGGTATGGCTTCTGGAAGAACGATTGCTGAGCTTCAGAAGGAAAGAGCCGAGAATGAGTACGAGGAAACTATGGTTAATACCAGTGCTAAGAAGAACGTTTCCTTACCAGGGGCTTATGAGGAACCATCATCGATATCACCATCCTTGGCTCTTCCATCCCGGCAATGTCCAGAAGGAGACGAGGAGGAAGAAGAAGAGGAAGATGCCTATGCTGCTATTGATTAATGTGATGGGTAGTTTATTGTGGTGGGCAAGGGACCATTGATTAATATGATGGGTAGTTTATTGTGCTAGGCAAGGGACCATTGATTAATATGATTGGTGGTTTATTGTGCTAGGCAGGGGACCATTGATTAATATGATGGGTAGTTTATTGTGGGTAGGCAGGGGACCATTGATTAATATGATGGGTAGTGTATTGTGCTAGGCAAGGGACCATTGATTAATATGATGGGTAGTTTATTGTGCTAGGCAAGGGACCATTGATTAATGTGATCATGGGGATATGGAAGTTAATACTGATAGGCTAGGGATCTTTGACTGGTGTGATGTGGCAGTTTACTATGGGTAAGCTAACATGTCATGGGTCTTTGACTTGTATGATGTGGTAGTTTATTAATATTAGGTGTAGTAGTCTTCACTGGATGATATGTTTGTTTTTTATCGGTAAGTTACTAAGTGACTGGCATGTCATGGTGGTATGATACGGTAGTTAATTGTAGGTAAGCTAGAGGTCATTGATTGGCTGACATGGTAGTAGAGTATGGGTAGGCATGGGCAGGTGCTTTACATGACAGAGAAGGAAACATTGTGAACATTGTAGTGTGGACATGGATTGTTTATTGTGGATGTTACACCAATACAAACACTGATGTGATAACTTGGAACCAGACTGTCACAGTCACCATCAGAGACGCCTGCTTGCACAAAGCGATGTAAGCCTATGTTAAACTATGGGAGTTACAATCGTCTTAGCGCTAAGATCACTTTGTGCAAGTGGGCCCTGTGAAACGTCTCCATAAAAAGTGCTGGTCTTCTGTAGACAACTGATACTTGGAACACCGAAGTGTGTGAGCTAGAACTGGAAGAAGAACGTCGGAAGGATGTCAACGTATTCCTATATAACACAAAAACTGAGACATCATTATAGAATGTGAAACTTATTGGTACATACTTGTACAAGAATGCACTGCTTGTGGTTGCATGGCAATTTTCAAATATATTCTTTTTCAGCTGATCTGGGCCACATAGAGCTATGACTGCCTTAAGTATAAGTTAAAGCATGGGAGTTTGTATCACCTTAGTGCTACAACTGTTGTAAGTCTATGTTAAAGTATGGGAGTTAAGATCACCTTAGCACTCAACAGTCGTAAGTCTTCGATCAAGTATGGGAGTTAAGATCACCTTAGCACTATGACAGTCGTAAGTCTTCGTTCAAGTATGGGAGTTAAGATCACCTTAGCACTATGACAGTCGTAAGTCTTCGTTCAAGTATGGGAGTTAAGATCACCTTAGCACTACGACTGTCATAAGTCTATGTTAAAGTATGGGAGTTAAGATCACCTTAGCACTCAACAGTCGTAAGTCTTCGTTCAAGTATGGGAGTTAAGATCACCTTAGCACTATGACAGTCGTAAGTCTGTCGTAAGTCTATGTTAAAGTATGGGAGTTAAGATCACCTCGGCACTACGACTGTCGTAAGTCTACGTTAAAGTATGGGAGTTAAGATCACCTTAGTGCTACAACTGTCGTAAGTATATGTTAAAGCATGGGAGTTTTGTGGAATGGCCCAGGTCAGGAAGGCCAAGTGGTGAAGTGAGTCAGCTATCATTGTTTATAACCTTTTTCACAATAGACTCCTGATATTATAATATCATGTGTACCTAGTTACGGCAACCATGTTCTTTTGATGATGTATCGTCAGTCCCAACAGCTAATGTCACACGGCAGGATCGATGTTTCTGAAATATGGTGTGTGGCTTGTTTCAACATACAGTAAGTACTTGTTCAGTTACACGGTTAATGGACGTATAAAAATGTATTCCTTTCTTCCATTCACCAGTTGTTTGAAATGAGTGAGCTACAGAACCCGTGGCAATATTTTTGATATGTTATTGTGAAGAGTACCGTATTCGACGTAATAAGTGCCCCGCTGTAATAAGCGTCCACGGCGATATTTGCTAATATATTGGCTAGTGAACATTACCAATTAGCACCCCTTCCAATTGATCAATGTGCACAAGACTTATTTATTCTCGTATAATACATGTGTTATATGCATCCTTAATCGTGGGAAATTAAATTCTGGGAAAATATATCTGTTGTATATAACATTTCAGGCTGTCAGCATAAACCACGAAATTTACGATCTTTCAACTCTGTTGTTTTTCACTGAAATAATATTCTAATAAGAGCCCCCTATTTCTAATTTTGAGAGCGCCCTGGGCCCTTATTATGTTGAATACGGTATCTGATTATTCGGATGTACATTTGTTTCAGAACATCGGTTTTGATATCAGTTTTATTGTTATCATGGTTATATTTGATTTTAACAGTATAGTGTAAACATTCCAGTATTGTTGTGGTTCTGTGGGACCGAATGGGTAATGTTCACACAGGCTAGATTCTGCACATGGGTACAAAATGTCAGCCACGTTAATGTTATTGTTTTATTGCGAGATATATGTTGAGGGATGTGCTCTAGTTGATGTTTTGTTTTGTAAGCATTCTCATTAATATCAGTTTTGTACTTCAATAGGAATGGCATGTCCTCAGATCTTTGTTTAGCAGTAGCAAGAACTAAGATCTGATTTTAATGAGATTGCTATGGTACAGACTGCTGATGAGATGAAGATGTGCAGGTCAGGTGTGTGTGATATCTAGACAACTGATTCTAGGGCTGGGACGAGTCCAAATTTACTACCCCCGTACCCACCCCACTATTACCCGACCCTACCCGGGTACCCGCTGTAGGCCTCAAGAGATAGGTACAAACTGTCCGATTGGGAAATGTTTGACTGTAGCTCTGGCAAAATGTATTTAGATACACGTATAAAACGATCTTGTCATGCATACACTGATGTTTACTGCATGTTTTATCGTTGTTCAAACATATAAAAATCAGAAGGAATGCGTGCATAGTCAGAAAGAAATGGGAACATTAGTGACTTGTAGTGTGACCATAGAGTTTTAGATAAGTTTTGTCATTAAGCAATATATCACGTAACTAACCACGGGTCCGGGTCGTCCTGTGGGTACCCGGGTCCTGCTCAGTACCCACCCGAACCCGAGTAACCGAGTTACTCGTCCCAGCCTTAACTGATTCATCAACTGAATACGTGTAGGACCTCCTGCTTACAAATGGACGCCAGAACTGATATTGTGTGTAAACATTGTACAACATTTACTTATTACAATGTAAAGTGTGATGAGGGCAGGGATATTTGTTAGGGTTCCATTGAACAAAATCAACAATCTGTCTGTGTTTTGAGGTTAGGGAGCATGAATGGCCTTGTGATCTGTGATGCAGCAATTCATCATGTAGAGTTGTGTGCCTTAGTCATTTCAGGATCTGCTGGTCATGACCAAATCCTGGACTGTCATTCCCTTAACCAGGTTCCTGGTTTCATTTTAGGCTTTTCTCACCCATTAAGCCAATGCATGTGATTTTACTGAAATACTCTTCGAACTGCAACGAACAAACTCAACTCCCTAAATGCACAAGCATTGCATAAACTAGCCTAAGAAGGTGATAGTGAATATGTTGATTATGGACAGCTGTTTATTGAGTTAATTGATCAAACTTCCTTTCAGGACAGTGTTCGAACCATTTAAGAGATCAGACCATTTGATATACTTAGGAGGACTGGGATTTGTATCGAGATCAGTTATTCAGCTGCAGCTACAAAACCAGATATTGTTTTACATAAAACTATGAGGCTTATTTATTTTTTTAAAGAAAACCACCTTGTAAATAATGTGATTTTGTGGCAGGAAATTTCTTCTTTTTTTCAACAGTCTGAAGCAAAACTATTTTCAAGATTTTTCCCACAGAATATCAAATGGTCACTTGGTCAGTCCCTGAGATTGTGAATATTTAGTGTTCACTTGATAAAAAATTCATGTAATCTTGATGATTTCACCTGTTTTAAGGCTTTTTTTGCATTGTTCACCAAACTGTTATTTGCAAACACATGTGGTAATTGTTTCAGTCTGTTCTGCATTAGGACAGGGCTTGTTAGCTTTTGGGTTTGATTGAAAGTAGGAGTGTTCCTGTTACCATGGTTACTGTTTCAAAAAGGGGCTTGAATGTACAGCAGAACTTGTTGAAGATTATTTGTATAGCTTTATCATACCAGATACAAGATGCATAAAATGTATTTTTGATAATGGTAATCTGTTAAGTGTGCTAATTGTTGATTCATTCTCCCTTTTCTTGTTATGACATTGTTATCTTAAATGTACAAAGCTTGAAATATGATTGAACATATAACAATTGCTAGCATTTAATCAGTGATGCCAATTTCGGGCATTTCTTGAAGTACAGAAATGCAACAAAGCCTTTAGTCTACATGCACAAGACTGATTCTATATTTACAGAACCACACCTAGGGTAGAATAGCAACCCATGTTTGCCGTAAAAGGCAACAATGCTTGTGGTAAGAGGCGACTAACGGGATCAGGTGGTCAGGCTCGCTGACTTGGTTAATGCATATCTTCGTATCCCAATTGCGTGGATCGATGCTCATGATGTCAATCACTGAATGTCTGGTCCAAACTCGATTATTTACAGACCGCCGTCATATAGCTGCAATATTGCTCTTATGACAAGCATTGTTGCCTTTTAGGGCAAGTATGGGTTGCTGAAGACCTATTCTACCCCGGATTGTCACTGACCTAGCGTATCTTTGTCTTGCTATGATGCCAGCTAGTAATTTTAGTGTTTGTTGAATAAATGAAAGTATGGAAATACTATGAAATATTCTATGGATAAGAATATTAAGAACTATTGGTTCATGACATCAACAATATGTCACAATTTTCAGTATGTTTGTGTTTTGTAAATACTTGTACTGTCTATTACATTTATATAATCAAAAATACATGTGTGTGGACATTGTATGTAAGAGTTGCCCTTAATCACATTATTGTTCATAAGTAATTTTGACCCATCCTCTTGGATCAAGGTTATTTTGTCAAAAGATGAATTCATGATAAATTGTGCAATTATCATTGCTATAGAAAATAACTGGAAAAGGGTTTGTAAATCCTTTGCCTTCATTTCAATGGTAATTGCATGGTGTCAATATGATGCATGCTGTCAATATATTGTTTTGGTTTTTGTAATTATAACCTGTTCATATGAACCAAAATAAAAATAAGATTTTAGCACTTTGCATTTTAATGATATAATAGCTGGTCTATAATCAATTCACAACACACACTTTGTTTATATGCATTGCATCTGTTTGTAATAATTTACCAGAATTGTATTCCGTTTGGCTTTTCAATTAAAATTGTTGAAATGAATGGGATTATTCAAGTAAAAATGTGGTCCTGATTTAGTTTTGATGCATAAGTTCCTGATTTCTCTTTTGCATTCAACTTGGGTTTGTTATAAAACTTATCAAAAGTATTCAAGTCTAGTGTTGAGGGTTACTCTGTTGATTCCTACTGGTCCAAAAGCATAAACCTGGTGCAGTTCATGATTCATTTGAATCTTTTTCCATTTGTTTTAGCGATATGTCAAGATGAAAAGGAAACAAATATGAAAAAGCTATCAGGGTTGATTATTGGTTATTTCCTAAAATATCATTTTGAAACTAATACCAATACGTTTACGATATAATCTTGTTTTGTCAAATTTCAAAGAGAGAATATATATATAATTATTTTATTCTGAAATTTCAAACTGGACATCCCCAAGCATTAACAAATACGCCCTCATTTTCAAGGGAGTACGAAAATAAACTCATTACCTACCTTTGTTGCAATCAGCTTGCTTCAATATATTCATTCAATTTTTTAGTTCACAGGACAATTTAATTTAGTTTTAATTTTTTTCATTAGAAAATCCCATTTCTCATCAGAAAACAAAATGGATAGTTCCTTGGCAGCCAAGATCTAGACTGAGTGACAGTCCTCGTAACTCTAGACTTTTATACAAGTTGATACCAGTGTAGGCCAACTTGGCTACCTCGGTCTGAGACTGGGTTGTGTGTTTTAACTGTTTGTAGATAAACATTGCATGGAAATTCTTGAAATAATTCTCTTCTCGGAGGCGTCGAAACTTTGGAAGATCAACATATTACCATAATTGCACTGGGGGAGTTTTAACTTTAAGTTTCAACACATTTGGATGTAGTGTCTTAATTGAGGTAGTTATTTTGAGTGATTGTA